TCTCTACAGTAACAGAGGCTACATTCTCAGAATGTCTTGAAACCACCTCTTCTGAGATTAACCTGGAAGCAGAGCCTGGGTGCTGGAATGGCTTTCAAAAATTACTCATTTTTCTCATTAATAGGACATAAGAATATGTTCTCTTTCCTGCACGGGTAACTTTATGATCACAATTTCTGTCTGCTTGCAGCAGCGTTACAGATTTCCTGCTTTGAATTTGTTCTGGCAAGAGTCACTCCCAGTTTTTTGTCTGATGCATTTGATCTTTTATTTTCTCATAGATTGTTTCGGGGCTGCAGAGCTGAGCCAAAGCTGGTACTTCTCTAAAGGCAGCACACCTTTAACTTCTGTTCTAAGGAAGACCTGTAGTTTGTAGCTACTTCATCATGTTTGTTTCTCCATTTCCCTGCCTGCTCCAGCTAATTATGCCTCTTAATTGAAACACATTTTTCCAAATTATATTCTTCATTTTTTGTTGCTTTCTATAGAGTCTAATTACAGCCTGTCACATCGACTCTTTTGGACTTGTCCTTAGGACATTGGAAAGCCAAAAAATTTGCCCCCGAAGTCTATATAGTTATTGAAAGTGTCTTTACCACAGCTGGTGTTATGATTTTATGCCTTTAAGCTTCTGATGCATATTCAGACATTCAAAAAGCAAATTAACATGTCCAGAAGAAGCAGCCCTGCACCTGCCTCACCATTAGGTCATGTCTCACACTGGGAGCTCCTGCCACAGGGACACTCCAAACTGTCCAACATTGGCACTTCTGTTTCATGGAATATTTTTGCAGACAATTGGTTTGTGCCAGTCCTAGGCCAGGGGCTCAAGTAGGTAATTTCCATATAGTCACACAATTAAGGATATCATAAAAGTAGAGCTTGGAAAAATAAAAATTTTTACAGAGGGAGGAATGGTGAGGAAACAACAGATGGTAAAACTTAAGTTGGGATTTCATCAAGCCAAACATTCAGGTAGAGTCAATAATTAAGATGCTTTTGTGGTATAATGCAGGACATGGGGGGACAGGGGATGCAGCCTCTCCAACATTATTCTTTCCTTACTTCCCTGTTTATAGATTCGTTCTTTTTCTAAATGATTCATACACAGGAACAGGCATCTCTTAGCAAAACTTTAGAAACCTTTATAGGTCAGGGTGTGGACATTGTGAAATGTTTTACCGGCTCTTCTACCTATTCTCTCTGCTTCAATAATCCATAGAACCTGTGGGTTTAGCAGTGCTACAAAGGCAAGATTTCTTTTCTTCTCTTTCTGAAATGACTTTGTTAATTTTGCATCCGCATTAACCAGGAAGGCAGAAAGCAAAAATTTTCTTTGTACAGATGTTGATAAATAAGGCTGAACCCCAGCAGTGTGGGGCCAGCTCCCCAGAAGAATGTGTGATTAATAGCACAAACCATGACTGCATTACCTCATCGCACACTTCTTCCAGGGGATCAACACTTCACCTACCAAAGCTGCCTATTGTAATACACCTTAATAAGTTTTAACATTTCTACAAGTGAAATGAGCTGTGACTCATGCCCAGGCTGGAGTGCAGTCAAGGCTCTTGGAAATCATGCTGAGGATTATTCCGTGCAGGACTGCCTTAAATGGCAGGTGAAACTGCAAGGAGCCAGCTGTGAACGCTGATGGTTTCAGCCTCCTTTTATAGGCTGAGTTCCTGTATCTTGTTGGTTTGCAGAAGTATTGTTGCATCATTCACTTAGACTGAGAAATGCTGTTCTGTCCTGCTCATGTTTCTTTGCTATCCTTTTCCATTTATGGGAAGTAGAATTTATTCACTTGGTGGGTGTTTTTTTTAATAATACTTCTTATTTTTCTGATTGCAGTTTCTTTGTGGCTGGGCCTGTCACTTTCTTGGTGTAGAAATGGCACTTCTTTGTGTACAGAATACTGAAGGAGAACAAATATGAGCTGGCAGAGTTCAATCAGTTTCAATACAATGAATTAACAAAGTAATTTTTCAAGCCATACATCATCACAGTCCTGAATATTTCCTTCCCTTCAAGCCACTGCTCTGAAATCAGAAGCAGCATTACCTGTGCTCTTAAAGTCTCCCAAATACTACAAAGCTGCCAGAGCTGCCAGCACAGGGTTCTGTACAGGACTCATTTCAGTCAGGCTGTTGGCACAGGTGCATTGAAGAACACCATCAGAGCCTGTGCAGGGTCCTGACCAGCCATAAACACTTGGAATGAATGAAGGGCATTATCTCTTCTGAGCCATCAGACACTGACAGGATTGCTGTGAGTGGGGAATGGCTCTTCAGGAAGTTGTATTATCTAATAGCTGGGTTAAGTAGAAGCTGTGAAATGATGGATTCTAATTTAGTGGCTCTCAGTGACTTTCTTTGCAGCCTTGAGCGAGTTGTGTCATCTCTTTTTCCAATTTCTCAGGCAATAAAATGGGAATGATAATACTGGCCCCATTCATTATCTCCCTGACTTCATCTCTCAGCGTGGTGTGAGAATGTGATGTTAACAGAGTATGCAAGTGGTAAATATTAGCATCATTATTTATTATTTAGGGTGCAGACCCACCCTAAATACATTTAGGAATGCATAGCTTATCTACCAGAGCACAAATTCAGAGGTAATGAGTAACCACCAGATATAAGGCAACGTCTGGTGACACATTGTCACAATCTGTTCAGCAGAAAGGAGATCTGCAGTTCTACAGAGCATCCTGAAGCTGTCAAAGATTCTCCAGAAACAAGCAATTTATTCCAGAAACAAACAGAATGTGGTGTAACACCTATTTGTATGTTTAAAGACTCATAGCTTTACTCCACTTAGTAAAAGACACTTGAATGGCTGTGTTGGAGCCATCAGTGCACGATGGTGTCAGTAATGGGGTGAGCTGTGAGGATGGTGCTGTGAGCTGTACTGCTGTGACCTGCACAGAGAGCAGCAGCACAGGTGTAAGAGAAGGTTAAAATCATCAGAGTGGTGGAGTGGTATGGGAATTCTGCTGCCTCTCAGCAGAGAACAGGAATTCTGCTGCCTCTTAGCAGGAATTCTGCTGCCTCTTAGCAGGAATTCTGCTGCCTTTTCTCCAGCACCTCTTGGACCACAGCTGAGTGTGACACAGGGCACAGGGAGCATATCTCACCTCTGCATGAGGGGACACCAGGGCAGAGTAAAGCCAGAGCATCGCTTAGGAATGTGAAATAAAGACAGGCGTGTTCCATAAGGCACTTCAATTACCTGTTTTTCCTTCTTCTTTCTTTCTTTCTTGTAGTTCAGCACAATAACCCAGCACAAAGCACATACTTTCCTTTGATGTAGAAATAAGGGGCTACTTAGTAGTTTTTATAATTATTTGTGTCACAGCGATGTGACCCTGCTATGTAAATCTGATAAATGAACATATCTTTAAATAACACAGAAAATTGTTCAAGAAGACCTGGGCACGTTTTGTCCAGATGCTGCAAACACCAGGTCTGGCTTGTTAGATCTGGTAAGCCATAAGGAAGGACACTCTTAATTAGCCAGGAGTTACTAATCCTGTATTACAAGTTTTACCCAGTTTAAAGAAACCATTAGGTAATCCATCCAATGCTTTTGGGATCTCTTTGTGCAACAAGGGTGGAGAGTTGGGGTGCGGGGGGCAAAGGGGGATCAGGATCTGGTTGGAACATGCCAGTAGCAGAACATTGTACCACAGAAGTGGACTTTGTTCAGTTTAATCTGCATTTCCTTTGAGATTTCCCCTTTGTGAGCCCTGTTTCAAAGCAAGGCACGTAACAGGAGCCCTTTTGTGACAGTCCGTGGTGTGTGGGGATGACGGGACATGATGACAATGTCACTCATGAATGCGAGACTGCCCTGGACACGCAGACTTTGGAATGCAAATCCCTGACACGCTCATTATGTTCCATTTGGTCTCTCTTCCTTCTGCCTTACACTCTTCCTCATCTAAACATCCTAATGGTATTTCTCTTTTGCTTGCCCAGATTTTATCTTTGCATAGCTCTATTGCTGTCAGGGTCTGCTGCTGACTTGGGCATTGGGCTGAGCTGAGAAAGGGAGGAAGCCTGAGCTTGGCTAAGGCTGACAGTTCTCTCTGGTGTTAGCATGCACTGTAAACACCAGTCTGGCCTGACTGCAGAACCTTTTGACAGAGACAGTGAACATTAATTTGAGACCAAATAACTGAAATGGTTTTTTGAATTACCTAGGACATCAAGAAAGGATGAGTGTCTGGATAAATACTTAAAGACTCTGAGGGAAAGTGTGTAAAGACAGTGCTAGAAAATTTCTCTCAAACTGAAGAATAAAGAAATGTTTCTGGGGGACTATTTTTAGTAAAGTGGCTTTGCAACACTCCTACTCATAACGCTGTTCCAAATGGTGACTGATAAGCTGTGTATAGGGAAGTTGAATAGTTTTGCTCATGTAAATGTTACCTGTAACTTGTGTCTCCTCTTTTCTTTTTTGTGTTCTTCTTGTATTGTCCTTCCTGAAACAATGAGGCTTTGGCTGTCCTGAGCCATGTCAGTGGCACTGCCACAGTGGACTGAGCATATGTAAAGGAAAGCAAAATCAGATATTCCAAGGACCGGAACAAATAATGCACAAACATTTATTGGCTGCAGTGAGGTATATGATGAGAGGCATAAGACCAGGAAAAAAGTTGAGAGATTATTCCCCTTAAATTATAGCTAATTTGCAGAGTGATAACGGAATCCCAGATGGATATTCCTGCCCTGGGGAGATGTGCACAATACATCTGCCACTAACTCAGCCAGTCACTTTAATTCAACAGCTTTTTTCCAGCATTTTGGTGACTAAAAGCTCTTTAAACTACCAATGTCAGCTATACCCAGCTCTGTGTGGCACTTTGCAGATCATTTGAGAAGCGCGTTCACTACAGGATCCCTGTTTGACACACGGGAGCCAGCCCATGGCACACTGTTCCAGAGGGGCTGTGGGAGCTGCTGCTGGGAAAGCTGCTGGTTTGGCAGAGCTTTCCTTCAGGCTTGTGGGGGGAGCTCGTTGATGGTGGAGGACACCACCTCCCCGTTCACGCTGTCGTGGACAATCGCTTTGAGCTTTCGGTTGCTCAGCCCAGAGTGTTCTGAAAGAAAGGAAAGTTTAATTAGCCAAGGAGCAATGCTGAGACAAGGTGATGCAGGGAAAGCCTCATTTACAGTCATTTACCTGCTGCCTCCTTTTTTCTACATGTTTTCCTTAAAGTCAATATTTATTATTGCTCTGTGTGAAATGTGCTGCCAGAAAGTCACCCTGGGTCTGGTCCAGGTCAGGGCAAATGAATAACACAGGGAGAGCCCAGCCAATGCAAATCCAGCAGATTATCCTGGATGTCTGCAGGTCATGCCCATGCCAGCATACAAGTTTCCAGACATGCAGATTTTCGGTTTGCTCTCAAGCCCTAACGCTGTTTTAGTCACCCAGTGGAGTCTCCTTGCCTCCTCATGTCCCAGGAAAGCTTTAGTCTGGAGCTGAGCTGTGGCCACTGTGTGACTGACAGGGCTGGGGCTCAGGCAGCCCAGTGGGCTCTGCAGTGAGCCCTTCACAGCAGCCAGGAGCTGCTGAAATGCTTCTCAAAGGTCTGTGTGAGCCTGCTATGCTCACCTTCCACAGTTCACTCAGGTGAGGATGAAATTGCCCTGAGTGAAATTTGATTGGAAATGACAGTAATTAAGAGTCACTACAGAGAACAAAGTAAGGAATTTTTACCTTCAGTTTCAGATTTTCTTGCTGTCCTGTGAAGATAATGAAATAGAAAATAATGTTACACTAATTTAATAAAGTTATTTGTCCCCTTCTCACTGTTTCTAAGGAGACCTCATCCCACTATAATTTTTTTTTTTTAAAAAGAAGGAAAAAGAATGATGCTTTTATACCATGTGAGCTTTCCCTTTTGTAGATAATCTCACTGGAAACATCCCTGGGCACATTCACTATTGCTCCCAGGGACAGGTGCATTGGTTGTGTGTATTTGGAGTTGCTCAGGTTGATCCCAATTTGGTTTCTGATAAATACCCTCACACTTGGGGCCACTCTGTCCTGCCTGCCTGAGAGTTGCAGTTCTAAAGGCTGCTGATCTTCCTTTTTTGACTTCATACAAATCAGATGAGAGAATAAAAATGAGGCCAGCATTCTCCTATGCTGAGATGGCCATACTGTGGGAGTGGAGAATTTTATTCTTTTTTAATAAAAAGTTATATTAATTTAGTTAATCCAAATTACATGGGTACCAGTGTCTCTGTACTCTAAGTGGCTCCAGCTTTTTATTATGATCCATCACATTAAAATACCAACCCTTGATGTAGTATGGGACTCACAAGCTTTGATTAAGCATAAACAAACAAACAAATAAATAATCCAAATATGAGAACTCTTCATCTGTTCCAGTCAGGGCAGCTCTGCCTTACCCGTCAGCATTCCCTTCCAGCAGCAGGCGGTATGTGGAAATTTCCTTTTCCAGGCGTGTTTTGATCCCAAGAAGAACCTTATATTGGTTATTTTGCTGCTTCATGTCGTGACGAACCTGGCTCAGCTCCTCCTCACACCTGGAGATGATCTGCTGCATGTTTTGGAGTGCAGCAGCGTAATAATTCCGAGTGTCAGCCAAGGTGTCTTCCAGCATGTGTTTCTGATGGGGCAGATAATACCAAGACCATGATTATTATTTACTGTGGTAGATACAACACAGAAATACCAGCAAATTTGGTCTCTAGCTAGAAGATTGCAAAATTAAGGCTGTGGTAATTTAAACACTTATGCATTTGCATAACTATTCTTGTGAAGGCAGCAGAACCACAGAGCTGTGCCGTGTGTGCATGAAAGGCAAAACTGAGTCATTTACCCCTGCCATATCCGTTCTGCTCAAAGCTCTGCTCCTGACACTGCTGTCTGTCCTGTCCGTTCTGCATGAACTGTCCAGAATTGCTCCAAGGTCTCCAGGTCTCTGGGATGTGAGCTTTAACTTGTATAAGAGCTATGTAATATTTGCGAAAGCTCCCCACCAATATTTTTCACAGTTTGTGTAATTCATGCTTGATAACAGGGCTGGTAAATATGAACTTTGCATTCTTTGTGTTGCTGTCTGTCTTCTGGACACATTTTCTTTCTAGACTTGGAGTCAGCTATCCCTTCTTCTTCTTCTCCTCATATTTTGTTGAAAGAAGAGACATACATTTTTCACTTCCTGGTGATGGTTGCTGAATCTATTTTGCATATTTTGGCAAAGTTGAACATGATCTGAATTCCACTTTCCCTCATACTTTAACAACTGCAACAAAGTTATGCTAGGCTGTGGATTTAAATGGAGAATTGGTCCATGACAACTTCTGAGAACATATGGAGTGAGTGAGCAGCCCGAGATGTCTGCAGCAGATACCTTACTAATCTGTGCCTGCAGCTCGATGTCCAGGGACTGCAAAGTTCTCCTTAGCTCCTTGATCTCGTTCTCGTTGCGCTGGATCTGCTCGGGGTTCGGGGTTGCTGCCAGGGACATTGCTGCACTCTGGAGCAGAGGCAAGAGAAAAGCTCAGACTCTGGTCAGGCAGCTGCAGCCACAGGGGGCTTGGAAATGAGCAGGGACTGGCTGTTACCTGTTCTTTGTACCAGTTGTCCAGGCTTTGACGGTTCTTTTCAATTATGGCCTCATAATCTTCTCTTATTTCTGCCAGAATCTTGCCTAAGTCTGCAGGAGGGGCCGCGTTTACTTTTACATTGACTTTGAAGTCTTGTGAGGAGCGATTGGCTTCCATGTCCTGTTCACATGTCAGAGGGAACAAGAAAACTCGGTTATGGAAGTAGAAAGTTTTCAGAGAGCCACAGAATCCCAGAGAGGTTTGGGGGGGTAATTGTTATATATACATTAACATTATTTGAAAAATTTATACATTGATAATACTGTGATGTATTATCATTAAACCAATGACATAGTTGCTTCTGGGGCAGAACTCAATAAAAACATGCAAGAAGATCTTTTCATGGAATGTTTCTGCAAGAAATGGACTCAGTGAAGAAGCACTGACATTTTTTATTTATTTATCTCTTAGAAACCTAAATCCTTGATGAAAATCTAACAGTAATTTCATCTTTCTTACCCTTTATGTTAATATTTATGGAACTATAACTAAGTTTACAGGAGAGTAATGTAAAAGTTCTATGTAATTGTTAAAGGAATAATTGGATTAAAGCATATAATTACTGTGTAAACAACATAATTACAGGACCAGTTGGGCAGGTAGGGTAACATTCCTTTCTGTGTAGCACAACCTTCTGTGCCTGGTACCATTTTCAAAGCACCCAGGCAAAGGAGCCTTTTGGGGTATGACATCATGGAATGCAGATCAGCTGGACACAGGGATGGCTCTGCTGGTCCCCTGTGTCCAAGAACTCTCCTGGGCTGGAAGGGGGTCAGCCAAAGGCAGCTGCACCTACCACTGTGCACCCTCTGTGTTTTATTCTCTGCTTTAAAAACCCACAGACACTGAGCAGGATGTTTGGTCCGGTGTTGGGTAATAACTGCAAACAACACCAGATCAAGCGAAACCAGCATGTTTCAAGCAGTGAAATTATAAATGTGGGAATAACAGAGAGCACTGAGTATAGCTTTGCAGAATTCAGAGTAGTGTGGCTTTTGAGAATTATCTAATTACTGTGCTTAGGATTATGCAAGAATGAGTAATTTTGCCTGACTTCACCAACCATTCTTTTTAATTTTGATCCTTCAAGAATTTGAGATGTGTTTTGCTCAGGTCATCCTGTTCTGGGTTACCCTGCTTGAGTTTAGGGGGGTGGACAAGGGGGCCTAAAGAGATCCCTTCCACCCTTCAACCCTTCCATGCTTATGTGAGTATGGGAAATGATATATTCAGAACTGAGGAAAAAGTCTGTGATGACTAAAACCCGGCAGCACTCTGTGTATTTATATCTAAGTCTTTCTGAGAACATTTCTGTCCAATATGTCAGTTATTATTAGCTGTGTATGACAGATGGGTGGGAGAGACTCCAGCAATCTGTTCTCTCTGAAACCCCAGTGTAATTGGTAAAGCAGACACAGGCTTTCTGCTTCACCTGACTCTCACTGGTGCCTCAGAAACAGGATTAGGTCCTGAATCATCAATCCCACTTACAGATTGTGGGTCTTACTCAGTTAATTACATGGTAGTAAAGATTTGTGCAATAAGATTTTACCAGGTGGAACTTTTTCTACCTCCTCATGGTCTTTCCTCCTGAGGATGTGCTCTTCTCTCAAGCCTTCAATTTCCATTTCCAGATCTGTGGTAATAATGGTCATGCCGTCGAGCTCCTTCCGCAGGTTCTCCACATCCAGCTGCACTCCCTGCCTGCGACACTTCTCGGCCTCGTATCTTTATGAGGAAAGAGAAGACACAACGTGCATGTTGAGAACTGCCCCATTCAGGCTCTTGTACAAGGAGAAGACTGGCTTAGTCTATGTAGGAAACTAGAGAGGACAAACAAAGAAACCAATTCTGTTTCTAAATATGTTATTTAAATATTTTTGGATAGTCTTAACAATAAAATGAGTTTTATTAGTTTGGCATTTCACTTTCCTCTCTCTCTCGTAACTTCTCTATGGTAGGAAATAAAATTTCTTTTTTTCACTTCCCTTTCTGCATGTTAACATTCACCCAATTGTGGAAGCCTTGAGAATACAATTCTCTGAAAACACTATCAGCAAGCACTGACTGCTTTAGTGTTTCCAAAATGGTAACTTTTGAGTCCTGCAGAAAAACAAGAAAAATGTGATGGAAGCCAGTTACTGACATTCCTCTAATCTCTTGCAGTGTCTGTAGTGAGCCAAAGGAAGGGAGATGCTGCTGTGTCTTCCCTTGGGCATGGGAAGCAATTTCACACCTCAGCATCTCTCCCTTACTCTGTGTTTTGTGGGCTCTATTGGTGCTTCTCCATTCACCCAATAAACTCAGTCTGAGTCCTGTCCCTCAAAGTAGTTCCACTGGTTCCTTTTGTGACACCACTGACTGATAATGAAAGGCTGGCAGTGCTCAGGGTATCTGAGTTTGTCATAATACTATCAAAAGCTGAAAATTTTTTTATAGCTGATCACCAACTGCTCAAAATAAGACAAATCTTCCTGATTCCTAAGAAGTCTTACTTACAGAAGTGTCAGATCCTTTCCTTTGGAAAGACCTGCCTGAAAGTGTTCTGTACAAACATTTTGTCTTTTCAGTTGATCTGAGAAGTCTCTTTCAATGTACTGAAAATCAGACTGCTGGGAGCCAGTGATGCACCAGCTCAGTCACTGTGCTCAACTCACGGGACTCCAAAGCAGAAGCCACACAAGGACAGGTGTTCCCTGCAGAGCTGGACAGAAGAAGTGATAAATCCAGGAAATAGATTTGGGCTGGACTGGGAAGTACAGTACTTAGAGGGGATAATTTGTAATCCCAGATGACAGTTTTAAGTGCCTTTTGTCACAAGTATTAAGTGCCTGCTGTCAAACCTGCTCGTCAGGACCTGCACTAAGTATCATAAACAGGGTGACTCAAGGTTCTTCAGCAATCATTTGTGGGTTTTACATGCTTTTGGGTTTTTTTCCTCTGTTCTACATTGTTTTTATTCTTCCAGTATCAACAGAAAACCTCAGTAAAATAGCTTCCCTATTGGATTAGCAAGAAAAAGTAATGTTTAGTTAATCCTCTTTCAAATCTAATGAGGAAACCAAAGAAGAGCTTACTTGAGCCTGAAGTCTTCAGTTGCCATGTTAGCGTTATCAATTTGTAAAAGGATGCTGGCATTGGTGATCTTGCTATCCTCAATCTGGAAAACAGAGAATCCAACAGGAAAGTTGGTGTTGCCATGGGATGACAGTAAATAATCTGTGCTGGTTTAGCCTCTTTGCTGCTCAAAGGAAGCATCTAAATAGTGGAATTCCCATGCTAAGAAGACCATAAGAATAAAAGCATTTCAGTTTCCTATGCACCTAGGTGTTTTACAATTTTTGTCTGTAATCTTACTTTTCTCTTTTTCTTACTTTTTTTGAGGGTATGAACCAGGAAACATCATCTTATTCCTGACCAGGAATGATATGAATTTCATTACACAAATTTCATGGTCCCTTACAGAGTAACAGTCACTGCCTTCCTCTGGTTTTGAGACCGGATTCTGATCCTGTTCAGCGTGGCTAACAAAGCTGCCTTGGGCATCTTTAGGGCAAATTTCAGTAAGAACCATTAAGCTCTGTCTGAGCACAATCAAAATACTGGAGTTAATGTTATGCTACAAGTAGCCTGTGCATGAACACCCTGCTGAGCTGGTGATGGTGGCAGCAACTCACTGGGAGGACCCTCAACTCACCACAGGCTGGAGTTGCATGCACAATACCACTGGCATCTGATTGTTGTGGTCCATTCAGTTATGCACCTATAGCTGCTCTGAATCGACCAGCAGCATGCAGTGATTGATTCAGGTGTCTGATTTTGCTTTGGGATTTGAAAATTGCTCTAAAAGGTGCAGGCTGAAGCACGATCTCATTTCTTTGGTGCACTCAGCACTCACTGGAAAGGCTCATGTGTCCCTGATAACATAGAATAGCTTTTAACTATAGATCTGAATGTGAAAAGTTCAGTATTCCGTGCCAAATCTTTGAAAGAACTCCAGCAGGAACTCACACATAATTATCAGGAAATCAAAAATGCAGGACACTGTGTCCTTTTCTAACACAGAAGAAAGAGAAGTGTGGTTGCCATCCCACCAGCTACCTTCCCTCAGCATCCACAGAGCAAACCAAGGGGCACTGTGGCCCTACAGACGTCATTTACAGAGCTCTCAACACCTTGGAGTAAATTTCCCACACCTCAATGAATCACAAAGAAACAAGGAAATGACAAAATTCTCCTCAAGTGTCAAAGGTTCACCTCGGTAGTGAAGAAGAAGGTGCTGTGGAATGTTTAACTAATCTGCTAACAGACTGTGCATTCCTGTGCAATTATCTGCACCTCGGATACTGCCCTGGGACACCATCAAGGCCAGCTCAAGAACTACAACAGTGCCCTGAATGCGTGGCTGCCTGGAATTTGGTGACAAAGAAGAGGCAATTTTTGAATCCAGCCTTGTAGAATGAACAAAGCAACGAGAAAAAAACATGAGTTCTTCAGCTTTGTGCCATGTACAGAACTGCTGTGGGACTCTGTGCAATCTGAGCACTGCTCAGTGCTTTGCCCACTGCTGTGTGGATCTCACATGTGCCAGTTACCTCTTAACAGTCACTTGGAATTCCTTACTGCATCCATCATGAACGTGGCTGTGTTTCCAGTACCAGTCTGCAAACTGTCAGCTTCATTAAGAATTCCCACTTAATGTTATTGTATAGGAAATACACTCCAATTCCTTATCAAAATAGGGATTTTTCCAAGAAGCCTTCCTGCACTGACTTTACCTCTCCTGTCTCATGTCCTTTGTCCCATCTCCTGGAATGCTCCGTAGATCACTTTGCTTATTTAGCAGCACAAGGTGTTTGAGTGAGACAGTGACCTGAAGAACAGGTGATATTTCATTGTGTATCTGGGCTAGGATGGAGTCAGGCTGGAGCAAGGCTTTTCCCAAAACTTGTTGCTCCATCAGGCATTCATCCTGAATTCAGGTATCCAGGAGAGTGTGGTTAAAAATGTAGAACCCAAATGATTATATGCCTCCAAGTTCAGACAGGCAGCATATCATAGACATTCTGGATTATTGGATATAGGACCCTAAATTTAGTCTGAATTTTATTTTAGGTGCTAAATTAGTTTCACCCTTTAAATTAACATTTAATTAATTTAATTATGATTAATAATTAGATGCTATATTTTCACTCATTTTACAGGCAGACATGCTGGTAATTGCAATGTTTTATAGAGAAAGTAAAAATCCCGTGTTCAATCACTGAATTGTCACCTGTAAATGATCCTTTCCTGGCCTTTCATTCCACATCCAGGACAGCCACCAGCCTCCAGGTGTCTGTGGCCAGGGACAGCTGTTTAAGGGGTGAGTGTTAAAAATAAGCTTTTTGGGTACAACCTACTCAAAAGTGAGGGCATCATAGTTTTATGCTTACTGTCTTCCTAAATCTTTCTGATGTACTAATTCCAAATCAACCTGAACACATATATGTTCTTGATGAACAAGTTTTTATTTCTCTTTCTGTTAAAAAGGAAAGTGCCCAAGTGCCAGGTCTGGGGATGGTGACCTTTCTTTATCCTTAAAACAGAAATGGGTGATGACAGTTCTGGCTCTCCATACACAGGCTGTGGTCCGAGCACCTCACCTACTGCCTGGAGGCAACACTTTTAGCTGTGAGCGTGGAGTTTGATTAAGTCCTTGGCCCCAGTCAGCAAAGATGTGAATTAATACAATTTCCAAGCCTTTTTAAAAAGAATTTCTCAGGATCTTGAGAATGCCAAGTAATTGTATTATAAAAAGTTGAGAGCAAACGACAACATTGAAGAAGAGCTTTGGGTTTTGCCCCATATGGGTATGTAAAGTTAATTACTCTGATTAGTCACACAGATGGTTACAGTGCTAAGGATGTTCATTATGAATACAGATTAATATTATGCTTAAATTTGAAGACACGTGAGTTTGGGAGATTGAAAGAGTTACTGTTGAACATTAATATTAACTACTGGCAGGAACCAGAAATTCTCCTTTTAATTATAGTGAAAACATCCACAAGGAATTTGTCACTGCTATTTTCTTAATTACAATGAAGTATTTTTCCATCTGATTACATAAGCTCATTGGTCCCAAAACTCCTGTAGTTTCATTGTCTGCTACCGCAGGAATCAAAGAGCTGGAATGCCCCAGTCTGTCTGGAGACAGCAGCAGAGAGGGGCAGGCTCTGCACTCCTCCTGCTTTGTAATTTGCTCAAGACTTGTGCAGTCAAAAAGACCAAGTTCTGCCAGCTGCAGTTACTCAAACCCCAGTTTCAGTACAGAAAGGAACACTTGGCAGCACACTTGGATCCCTTTATTCTGCCAGTCTCTGCAGAATCCCCCTCGCCCCCTTCCAGCCTTTCTTGTGCCCACAAAGAATGTTTATGCCCAGGTCCTGGAACTACCTTCCTGAGGATTTCTAACATTTCAAAGGTTTTATTTAACTTCTTTAAAGGAAAGCCATCAGCATAAAGGAGAACCCCGATTCCTTAGAAGAGCACAGAATGACACAGTCCCAGCTCTGACTTACCTGTCTTTGCATGTCAGTGACGTTTTGCTCGTACTGGTTGAAGTCATGCCTCTTTCCATGAGACTTTGTCCTGTGCCACTCTAGGATGCAGCTCTCCAGCTGAGCGTTGGCTGCTTCTAAGGCACGGACCTTGTCCAGGTAGGCAGCCAAGCGCTCATTCAGGTTCTGCATAGTCTGTTTCTCATTCCCACCCAGGAAGATGCTTTCCCCATAGTGCTCGCTGAAGCCTCCCCAGGCTGCCCCTCCTGCAGCCAGCCAGAAGGGTCTGGCAGAGGAGAAGGAGGGATGTGTGCTGCTGGCACCACCATCTGCACTTGATGCTCTGTAAGAAGTTCCTTGCTGGGCCAAACCACACCCTGAACTACCCCTGAGGGACCCAGAAAAAAACTGGAAAGGGCCTTGGCTGGTGCTCATGCTTAGCTCTGTGTGAATCGAACCCCAGGTTTGGCTGCCTAGCACTGAGCAGCCTCTTCACCTTCCCTGAGCAGCTTTATGCCTTTTCCTGTGGGAGTTTCCCTTCGATGAATGACTACAGCAACAAGATTGTGTCATCACGAAACGTGCTTCCTCTTGGTCAATTCTGAAGCATTTATGAGCCTGCACGCTGTTGTTGTTTGGAATCAGCTACATACCGGGTTGCTTTCCTTTCGCTTGTTTGGGTTTTTTTTTTTTTTCTTTTTCTTTTCATATGATAATAGTGAGGTGTGGCCAAAATCCGTAGGTGTGGAGCAGGATCAGCTCTGCCTCAGACTTCTCTCTAACCCGGTAGTTAGTATGTTATGTTTTCCTCTCATGAAGAGAATAAATGGGAAGCCAGGGCAGGGATGGGGCTATGCAGATACTTTCTGTGGTAATTCTCAGGCTGTAGAATTACAGCAGCCCGTGGATCCTCAGACCTGTGGATTCTCAAGTGCAGTGTGTCCTATCAGCTGTCAAACGGCTTAGCGACCAAACAGCTTCAGCCTGTGGGAGATGTGAGGCTTTCATGAAGTCATCCAGCTTCTAAACCAAAAAAACCCTCCAGTCCAGAGTCAGTAATGTCCAGCTGTTCCCTTCAGCTGCCCATTTCCAGGGGAAATACATGAGAATTAGGTACTTTTATACTGATTTTCACATGATTTGAGGTGCAGTCCTGTTTCAGTGGTCTTGTCTCAACAGGCAGCAGTGCAAAGATTTCTTGCTGTTCCCAGCATAAATACTATTAAGATATTTATTTTAGCTATAAAACATATTTACACTATGAGTTTGTAACAGCACTCAAAAGATTCAAATGATTATTTAAAACTACCAGCCCTAAAAATTGACCTGGCAATCATGCAGGAATAGTCTTTCTCAAAAGTCTCAGTAACTTTCTGCCAAACTGTATCATCCAACAGGGAAAGGTGCAGTGTGGCTCTTGCAGATTCTCCTATTCCTCGTGCTGGTAAGGGGTGTAGATTGGGGAGTGGTCCCGTGGCAACTGCTGGGTGTAGTGGGTTTGCTTTGTCTTGTTCTAGTCCATGACTGAGGGATGAGATCGAGGAGGAAGATTTGGGAAGAGGCATGAAGTGGGTGGGCACAGGCTGTCCCAGAAATGCTGCAGCTGGTTTCCTTACCTAGGTGAAGGCCAACCCCCTTCTGCCCTGGCCCTGCTGCTCATCCTGGTGAGGTCAGGGAGACTGCATGAAGCAGAGTTCAGCTGTCCTGGGACAAACAGGAAGGGATGTGTTTTGCCCTGTTTGCTTCATTTGGAAGGCTGCAGCAATCAGGAATTGTTCCCTGGTACCTCCCGGCCTCATTCCTGACTGAGCAGGATTCGGGCTCCTCCTTGTGGCTCGGGCTTGGCTCTGCTCAGCACCTGATCCTTTCCTTTTCCCCAGCTCCCTTTATACTTTACCCTCTTTCTTCCTCAGACTCTTACTTCTGTAGAAATCCTGTCATTTCTAACTATTTGGGGAAAGAAATCACTGAAAATTGGATTTTCCAGTGAGCACAAATATTCTGGTTACAGCCACTATCCATAGCTGCAGTCTGGGGTCAGCCCTGCTGCAGGGGAGGGGGATGAGCTTGAAGCATCAGACAAAAACTGAGGCCCTAACTTGAAAAAAACCCCAAATTATAAAAGCACTGATGACATCCTGCAGATCTCACAGAGATCAATTTCAGATTGAATTTTCAGTTTAGCAAGCTGGTGTCTGTGACCTATCACACCAAGATGGAATTACACAGGGATGTACAGAATAGAATGTGAAATAAAATGAATCCTCTGTTTCACCTGAAATTACTCCATGGCATTCCCACCCTGCCTGGCAATGAGGCTGGCAATGTGGGAGACCACAGAGCCTCACTCCTGAGAATATAATGGGATTAGCACATCATGAAAACCAGAATAGTATTTTCTCTTGCAATTAATCCAAAGTACAGGTGATCTGGGACATGGGAAGTGCTTCCCCTGAGGCTCAGCCTTTCCAAACTGGAAAAGATGCCACACAGTTTTGATCCACACATGTTGAGGATCGATGAAAAACACCAAACAACTTACTTCAAAATCTGGTATGACTCTTTGTCAGGCTGCAGTGCTGAATTTGGGTTTAGTCACCTCTTTAATCCAGAACAGAGAATGGAAGTGACACCCGGAGTAAGGAAATAAACTGTTGTCAGCAGATGGCACCCTTGGATGGGGACTGCTCTGCTCCCTGGGAGATGGGTGCTGCTCTGCAGTCCCGCCTTGCTTCATCTGGGAATTGTGGGTGTTGTACTGAATTAGAACGTGGGCAGCAAACTGAGCTGAATTTCGAGGCTGCAGTTTAAATACAGGCAGATTATTCTGACAGGTACGTTGTACAGGTCAATGTCCTGCAACAATCACTGACTGATTCAGCTCCTCCATCTGGAATACAAATGGATGGAGAGCTGCCTGTGAATGTAGGAATTCCCTCTCCTGCTGTTTGAGTGATACAAGCAACAGTCACCTAGGTTTAGGATCAGGAAAAAATATCATTTATGCAGTTCAGTTTTCCTCTATAGTGGATTGTGATGTTGCTTTGCTGCAGTTTGCCAGAACCTCTTCTGAACTCCTTCCAGTGGGAATGCCAAGGGGATGTGCATTTCTTACCAGCAGCACCCATGATCTCATGGCCAAACAGTGTATATTTCCTTTTCTTAAATGTCAGAAAATAGAAGACACACAAATAGTGTCTCTAAGAAGCTTGGAAGGAAAATAAAATATGTAATTCTAGAAATTATATAGTTTTTGCAGGTACTATAATGTGGATTGAATGTCCAGTGATGGGTCTAAGGATGCCTTTTTCAAACATGTTATGTGAGTAAAGTACAGTGCTTAGGTAACTGCTTTGTGTGCTTCTGGGATTCACCAGGCTCTTAAAATTTTATCAGCATCTCTTCAGTTCCATTTGTGGGGGATTTGTAGCTGGGAGAAGGTGATGGGGCTGAAACCACAGGCACAGCAGTGACATGGGCCAGGGATGTTCTTCCTGATGGATGAAAACCAAAACAGTTGCAGCAAACTCTGAGCAATTTGTTTCACCTGGACTGTGCCTGCTGCTCTTAGGAGCTGAAGGAATTTGCTTGGTGCTGCAGGCAGTGTAGGAGCACAAATATATGCAGTTTTTTCAGAGATGCATTTTATTTGTGCATGAATTGTAACCTTGTTGTGCCCTTGGAATTGAGAACAAAGATCTTAAGGATTTTTTTTATGCTATCTTCTCTGTTTTTCACTGATACCAGCTCCAGATGGCTGGCAGACTCTAATGGCACTTTATCTGTCCATTCATCACCATCTTTATTATTATTTTTAAGGTTATTATTGTTATTGCTGTTGTTATTCCCAGAGTATCCCCTGGTTGGGTTCCAGCAGCCCATGCTGGGAGGGCCTGTGGGCTGTGTGTGACACAGTGGCTTCAAAAAACACCATTAGACTGGATTTATTTGCAGAAGCAGAACAGAAACTTTATTGTTAGGACACAATAGAGCACCAGCAGAAAACAGGCTTTGGCATCTCTGACCCAGCGAGCCAATGCTCGTGTACAAAGGCAGAGCAAATCTAAGGAAAGACATTCTTGGATACATTCTCGTGATTTGGGGAAGTGAAAGGCTATTTATCTCAGCATTAGTGTGGAGGCTGCACTGGGTCCACGTGGAGATTTGGTATTTCTTTATGGGTATCTCCTGTCACGGGTAGAAACGGGTTTTCCATCATCGTCCGTGCCAGAGCGACCTCTTGTAGCGCTCCCAAATGCTGTTGTAGGAGGAATAAAAAAATCAAATAAGGAACAATAAAACCACTAAGGCACTGCCAAGACCCTGAGGAGCTGAACCATGAGGTTGTGTTTGTTTGTTTCCTCACAAGATCTTTCACATATCAAAGGCAGAACTGCCTTTACATCTTATCTACTTTCACTCCTGGTCCTCATCCAGAAAACCTTAGGAGTGCACATCAGATATGGATTTGGAAGCATGTTGTATGTTATGTGAATCAGCAGAGGAATGAATCTTTGGGAGATCTGGGTACCCATGAGCAGTTCATGCACTCATTTTGGAAATCTACTGCATTCAAAAATGCACACAAAATAAAGTATTATATTTTTGTCTCTACGTGATACAGAACATGCTCATTGTGGGGAGAATGGAATCTGTGCTAGTAAGAAGAAATCCAAGGCTAAAAGGTTTATTTAATCCTATTTTGCCTGTTCATTTCAGCCCCTCATTAAATAAAAATGTTTCTTACCGTCCTTGGGGTTCAGTCCTGACAACCTGTAGGAAAAAAATATTTGATTAATGACCATTCCTGACATTGTCCCCTGAAACCATTGAACCATTTAGGAATTTGTGTGGACAGCCAGGATTTCACACAGCTGCTCTCAGTGGCTGGTTCTGAGGTGTGTTGTTACTAGAGGTGGTGTTAAGGTGCTTTCAGCTTTGAAATCCACCCCTATGTACTTGAAAGGGAATGGGAACAGTGGTCAGACCAGTTCCTTGTCCTGAGGTGTCTCCTTATACTGCTCCTCTCCTCAAAATGCCTCTTCTAGATAGTATATAAGCTGATTCCTCCTCCTTAGAAATCAAAAGTAATTCCATGTATAGATCAGATATGAGAAGTGGGCATGAAAATGCAGATTTTACTGAAGTAAGCTGGAGTCTGTTCCAGGCTCTTTTCTTGCTGGGGATACTGGTGTATGAGGATGAGTATTTATTTTCACCTCTGTGCACAAACAGAAAAAAACAGGAGCTAAAGAAATACTGGGAGCAGGTTTTTATAGGTTGCCTCAGGCTGCAGGCTCTAATTCCAGTGCAACCAGAGGATTAAGTGAAACATACATATGAGGGCTGGTGCCTTTTCTAATTCATCACGGTCAAAATAGTGGCATTTATATTTTCCAATCCTCCACACCACCGATGTGCAGATTTAGCTGGAGTTATGGCAGTGCCAGGGACTTTGCCAGTGCTCCAAAGGCTGCGTGTGCAGGGAGCGTGACTGAGCACCCCGGAGTCATCCTGGCAGCCACAGAGCGCTGTTACCCTTATCTGCTCATCAGGACAGGGACAGGGTGACATACTGTGCATCCTGGCCCTCCAGCAGCTGGCGGTACGTGGCGATCTCCTGCTCCAGGCGACTCTTGATGTCCATGAGCATTTTGTACTCCTGGTTCTGGCGCTCCATGTCGCAGCGCAGCTCGCTCAGCTGCTCCTCCACGCTGGTGATGAGGGCCTGGATCTGAGCCAGCTGCGCGCAGTACCGGCCTTCCGTGTCCCGCAGGTTGGCCTCCAGCCCAGCTTTCTAAAGTGCAGGAATGTCAGAACAGGTTAGAAGGAAGTTTGTCCCACGGAGGGGGAGTCGAGGAGAGGTGAGACAGCGAGGGAGGAAGGGGACAGTGTGAGGCAGTGCTGTACCATGCTGAGCTGCGACTGGAGCTCGATCTCCAGGCTCTGCAGGTTGCGGCGCAGTTCCGTGATCTCTGACTTGCTGGTCTGTATCTGCTGGGTGTGGGTGGCAACTTCACGGTTCAGCTCCTCAGTCTGGAAGGAAAAACAACTGTAAAATCACATACAAATGTATAAAAAATCAATCATTTTGAGGGAGATAAGGACCAACCAGGGCGGTAATGCTGAGGCAACGCTGTGCTGTTCATTGGTGTGACCATACCTGAGTGAAGAACCAGGCCTCAGCATCTTTACGGTTCTTCTCAGCCAGAGCTTCATACTGTTCCCTCATCTCAGCAAGAACTCTGGTCAGGTCAATGCCAGGAGCTGCATCCATTTCCACATTGACTGTTCCACTCAGCTGGTTCGAGTACTCTTTCATTTCCTGCATGGACAGCAGACAGAGGACACAAGAAGATCAGGCTCTTTCCTCTCACACTGCTCCTGCCCCCAGCAATGCCTGCTGTGGTGCACAGTACCTGTGCTATCAAGTATCACAGATGGAACTCATATAAAACATTTATCACATTTTCTTTCTCATTGCAACAGCTTCTCTACCCCTGTGTACTCACACAGGACACACCTATTTACATGTAACTTACATGTATGTTTCATTTACAAGAGATAAATTCCAAACGGGAGTGATCTCCCTGCACTGCCAGGATTCTCACCTCTTCATGGTTCTTCTTCAGATAAGCCAGCTCCTCCTTCAGGTTCTCAATCTGCATCTCCAGGTCGGCTCTGGACAGGGTCAGCTCATCCAGGACGCGGCGCAGGCCGTTGATGTCGGACTCCACGCTCTGGCGCAGGAACAGCTCGTTCTCATACCTGCAGTTCAAAAAAGAAACAAGCATTGGAACACGTCCGAGTTTGTTTACAGCAGAGCTATAAAATGATAACATGTAGGAGGAACAGTGGACTGTAGGTGAAAACATACAGATTTAGAGGTGTAAAAGCAATAAAGCTGTTTTTTTTTCCAATATCCAACTATGGTATAAGGAAGCACAGACAATGCTGTTCCTGAGGAGGACATGACATTTCACCTTGCACAACCTAATACTGATTATCAGCATCAATAGAAACATTGTCACACAGAACAGGAGTTTTGCAGTGTCCTCCCAGATTTGTGTAGGAAAGCACAGGTGGGGCAGGGCTGCCGAGGACACAGGGGGGAAAATAAAAACCTGCAGGTGCATTGCTGCAGGGAAGGCAGCTGCACATGGACCTTTATCATCTGATGTGCTGCTGAGCCTGGGAGCTGGAAAAGCCTCACCTTACTCTAAATTTCAGACTCCAGCAGAGAAATGCTGAAGCCCCACAGCAATCTCTTCCTGCCACTCAGTTCCATCTAAGTGAAAATCTCACCTATTCCTGCCTTCTTTCCCCTGATTCAGGCTATTAAAAATATTTGAGTATCACAAAGAAATGAAGACACGGGCTGTAATTGATCATGAAAACAGCTCAGTGATCTGAATGCTGTGTTCTGTCAGGCTTATATTCTGAATTGGTCCTTTCTCAATGGATTCTGCTTGCCAGGATGGTTTGTGTCTGAAGTTACTAAATAAAAAACTGCTTTGAGAGAGTGAAGACAAGTAGAGTGGAGACAAATGAGCTCCAGGTGAACTTACTTCAGTCTAAAGTCATCAGCAGCCAGCCTGGCATTGTCAATCTCCAAAATGACCCGGGAATTGTCAATGGTAGCAGCAAGGATCTGGCAATTAGAAACATGGAGAAAAATTCCTGTGAATAATGGTAAAATATCTGATCCACATTTCATGAGCAAATCAGAGGGCTGTGATACTCTGTGCAACATGGATTAGAACCATAATAGGGACATGTGTTTGTACAACACCTGATCTTATCTGTAGCCAGGTGAATTATCTTTCCAGCCTTTGAGGCCTACTTGTCACATTCTTTACTATTTGATTCCTGAATAAATATATTGATAATTCTAAACACATTTTGCTAACTTTTACAGCTCAACAAACATCACATTGTCAGGATAAGATACTTGGTATTTAAACTGAGAAGAGACTACTCTGTTCTGCTAGAATGCTCAGGACATCAATGAATTTGGGATGAGGAATTCACTACTTCTTTTGTAATTATTTTAAAGACATGGAACATGCAGTTCCATAATTCTCTTGCCTTCTTATAACTCCTCTACACATGAATGTCATACCTTGTCTCGAAGATCTTCGATTATCTTGTAATAATTGCTGTAGTCACGGGCGGGGCTGGTGGGAGCTTGTTTCTGGTACCAGTCTCGGATTTTCACTTCTAAATCCGAATTGGCCTCTTCCAGGGCTCGTACTTTGTCCAGGTACGAAGCCAGCCGGTCATTCAGGTTCTGCATGGTTATCTTCTCATTGCCAGAGAGGAGGCCATCGCCGCCACCAAAGCCACCACCAAGGTCAAATCCTCCACCAAAGCCAGCGCCGCCTCCAAAGCCAGAGCCCCCTCCAAAGCCAGAGCCCCCTCCAAAGCAGGAGCCCCCTCCAAAACCGGAGCCTCCTCCAAAGCCGGAGCCCCCTCCAAAGCCACAGACTGCCCCCCCTCCAAAGCCTCCTCCATAGCCACCTCCAATGCCACAGCCTCCTCCTGAAGAGGAGACGTACCTGGCCGAGGAGATGGAGACGCCGCGGCCGCCGGAGCCGCCGTGGATGCTCGGGGCCCGGTAGGTGCCTCCGGTGCGCACCGAGGACAGGCGAGAGCTGCTGCCCCCAAAGCCACCCCCGTAGGTGGAGGAAGAGCTCATGTAGGAAGTGGCCATGGCTGAAGCAAGAGAATGAGCAAAGGTCACTTATGCACCCTGGCAAGAGAAGACAGCCTGTTCCTTCACTGCCCTGGTGCCTCTTTTATATGCTCATGAGCGGGTGTTGGAGACAAACCCCACTGCAGCCCTCCCTCCAAAATTCTCCTCCCTAGAGGTGAGGCCAACTGTGATGACATTCCTGACAAGCAGTGCTGGCAGCACATCGCAGGGGCTTGGGGTTTCTTTTTTTAATTAAACAAAAGGCATGAATCAGATGATGTTTTTTCTTCAGGCTATAGTTCTGAAACTTGGAGTTTACTTCTCTGACATTTAAGAATGGAAAAACAAAGTGAGTTCAGCCCCACCCACTCGCCTATTTGCAATGCTTGCCATGGCTACCTTCAGAAAATCAACTTTTTCTAAAAATGAGGCTTAAGTAAAATTCTCCTTTCATTGAAAAATGTACAATCGTCTCTTCATCTCACCATTATTCCTTCTTTTTTATCTGCATTTTTTTCCCTTTAAAATTTTGGGGTTGAATTAGAAATGTTCTTATTCTTGATTTTTTTTCTTGGAACTAATATTGAGATTTTGGAGTCTGAATTTTTGTTACAAAAGCATTTATTCATGGCACTATATGAGGAACAGTCAGCATCCATCGGTGTGCAAGGGAGAGTGGAAACAGTAAATTTATTAATAATTGTGAAATAGCCCACAAAGGTAACACAGATTGAAACAACTCAGTTAAAAGAGTAGATGTGGGAGGACTAAGTTCCTGTTACTTTGGAAAATATAAAGAGAATGGGTTTAAGATTACACTGTTCTGATAGCAATACATGTGTTTAATGCCAGTGTGCACGAGGAAATGGAGTAGTCTTTGAAAGTAAGGCTTGAGAAACACTCAAGGCACCTTAATCTTTCATTTAAAGCAAGAGTCTGAAACAGAAATACACTACTGAGCTCATAAATTGCCAGTGAAATTCAGGAACTCGGTCATGCAGCCCTGCTCGCCCTGCAGGGAAGGCAGATTTGGGCAGCGTGCGAGGAAGCAGGAGCTGCCCGTGTGCCCTGCTGGGGACGGGCTGTGGGGAGTGTGCAGTTTGCAGAGCACCTCATTCTCTGCACAACACAGGGACCTCAAATAAAGCTGAAAGAAGAAAACTGATACGTTTGCTAAAAACATCATAAGAAGAGCATTGTTTTTAGCGTTCTTTGGCAGTACAGAAACTGAGCTTAGAACTCAGGATGGGGATTTCGGGTAAGCCAAGGTTCTCAGGAGTTGTTGGAATAAACCGAGGGGGTTTCTGACATTTCCAGCTGAGATGTTAATGCAGGCACAGGGAATGCACAGCATTTTCACTCAGGGGGGAAGAAATGGCAGAGTCCAGCCGTGATGTGCCCCTGCAGGCTGGCTCTGGGGCATGGGCACTCACTGCAGGCTGAGCAGGGCACACGGGTGGGTGTCACCGCTCTGGAAACATGTTTTAAACTGAACCTGGCCCTTTGCCACAGCCCTTCAGTTTTGCTGCTGGGCAGATGAATGGTCTGAGTGCCTTGCCAGATCCCTGTGTCTCCAAGGGTTGGTGGCTCATGAAACAAGTTCAGACAAGCCCTCCTGAAGATAAAAAGTTGTCTTAAAGACTCATAATCAATGCCCCAAAGTGTGTGCACTGCCAGGGGCTGCTCAACCAAGAGAGCTCACAATAAGCAAATCATATTCCATTAAAAAAACCCAAGCAACAAAACACCACAAAATTTAGTAGGAAACTTTGGGGAGTTTTCATTGAGTCTTCTTTCACTCAGGTGTGATAACTCCTTTGGAAGGTCAATGGTGAAACACACTGCTGCTTTCTAACATGCCCCAGGCTGGATCAGTATCAGATGAACACTTACAAAAACCAGGTAGCAGATAAAAGCTGTTCCTTTCTGTTGAATATTTACCATTGGGAGACAAAATAAATCAAACAGCCAATACAGATCATGCCCCATAACATAATTTAGACAATGATTTCTACAGCATTTTCTCCTTACAGGCTGTACAGGGAAATAGAAGCCAATCACTTACTGAAATTAAAAAAAATTTAAAAATAAAGAAAGGCTCTTTCAAGGTTATGCCTTTGTTCTGGTCTCACTGCCTTTGCTCAGAGGTTCTTTGTCCAATGACACATGGACTCATCCTTTGCACAGTCTCAGAATTGTACCTGTGGTACCTGAACTCCTTGGTTTGTCATCTTCCACAGAGCTTTCCTGGAAGACATTCCCTGACATGTCTGTGCTGCACAAACTCTTTTGTTACCTCTGCTGTGAGATTAACGGAGCTGACACACTCCAGCCCCTCCTCTCAGGACAGCAAGTTCCAGTCAAGCAGCAGCTTGTTTGTCATCTCAGTGATCACTCTATGAGTGATAAAACCATCACTCAGAGGAGACATGACATGCCTTTAGAAAACACTTTTTTTCCCTGAACCAGATGCTAAAATTATAGTGGCTGAGTGATTTATATCAAACATTTTACCAGAAATCCTTCACTGCCTTACAGATAGAGGAAAAAAAATTATAAATAAAATTATAAAATAAAATTAGAACTAAGATATAAAAGCAAGAATTCAGGATTTTTATAGTTTGTATTCTTGGAGCATGAGAATTTCTTGTCAGACTTGCACATTTGCAGCTGGACAATACCAGAAATCTGCAACAGTGAGCTCCCACCCTGACTGGTTTTGTCACAAGAAATTGCTCTCAGGGAATGGGATTTGTTAAGATTTAAAAACAAACCTGGAACTGTTTGTTCTTTCATGTAGGGAGATTTCCAGGTCTCGGTGTCGTAGGGAATAAGTTTGGTACAAAGCATGTGTTAATGTGTCTGTTCTGAATGCATGACATCTTCTTCTCCTGGCTCTTCCAGAAGTGAACCCTACAAAAATGGATGAACTCCTGAAGGATCCCCTGCACTCCCTGTGCCTCTTGGGCCACTGTTCTCTTTGATTTTGCCCATCTTTCCCCCTGTGCTCCCCATGTTGTCCCTTTCTCTGTGTCTTTTTGACTGTTCTCCTCTCCTGTCACAGTTTTCCCCTGTCAAAGTGAAGCCACTGCTTAATGCCACCATACTTCATTCCAGAGGCTGAGCAGGGATTGTCGGTGTCAGTAGTGACAGCTGATGTTGACAGGTCACCTGAGTCACTGCTGAACCAAACCCAAGCACAGCACCTTTGGATTGAAGAGGATTGCCCCACCTTGAGAGAGGAGGTCCAGAGCTTGGGGTGCTCCGAGCCATGCCACTCCATTAATCTGCTGTGAACAAGGGATCATGGACATTTCCCAGGGCCAAGGAGAGAAGCACTGAAGGATTTTATCATGTCTCCCTGAAACACAGACTGCAAACTCTGGGGGAGAGCAGTGTTGGGATACTTTCAGCCTGGGCATATCCTTGTTTTCATTCCCCCCCAGCTGTGGAGCAAACTGTGCCTCAGTGTGGTAACAGCAGGAGCTGGGAAGGTGCTGGCTGGGCTGGAGTCATGGTTTGCTTTTAGCACAATCCCTGAAGTTTCCTTGCCTGTCAGTTTGGTAGCAAATAAAATCAGTGATTTCTGGGTGTTGGAACTAAAAGTGATTCCACTTGGAATTTCAGCCAGGATAATATCCTTGCAATGGCATGGGAGGTAAGTGGGCTGAAATTGGTGCTAATGGTTTGTAAGCTCTGTGTGAAAGGAGAATGGAAGTGAAGAATTCTCCCAACTGAAGCTCACCTCCGTGTGCTCCTGCAGGAATTATCTACGAGCCAGTTTTTTACTTTTATTTTACCCTATGAATCATCTCCCAGCTCCTGCTGCTCTCCAGAACCACTTCCCATCCCACTGCCCCGGCTCAGCATCGTAGTGAGAAACCCAGGTCACTCTTGTGTCCCTCTCTGAGGAGCTGGGGATGCCAGTGCCTCTGTATTCCAAGCAAGAGGAGCCAGCAAGAATCAGGATGGAGCCCAAGCTCCCCACACTGTGAGCACTCTCAGAGAGGCTGGCTGGCTAATTCCTGTCTGAGTAAAGCCAAACTTCAGTGAATTATCACAGTAACTCCAAAGAAGCAAAGATTGCAAGAATATCATCTTTATTTGAGTAGATGCAGCAATTCAATACATGCAAAACCTAGAAATAATTGCAAAGCTGACCCAATTTGCATTTTAATCATCACTAAGTGAATGAATCTTCCTAAACTTTGTGTAGCCAAGAACCTTCTGTGCTTCAACAATCATTTCCAGCAGTTCAGAGTGATTTCTCCATCTCAATCCATGTGTTGTCTGCTTTTTCTCAGTTTGCAGATGACCTTTGAAGGACCTTCAGTGCTTGTCTCTTTTATCTGCAGTAACATGGAGAGAAAGAACAGCAATTATTTAAGCCCAGCTCACACAGACCACTCTGTGATGGGTGCTGAGCTTGGCTGGGTCCTCATCTCTCATTCCCTTCTCTCAGAACTTTTCCTCTCCATCACCTGGATTTGACTCATCCCTTTTATGACACTGCTGACCTCTAACAGCTCAAGGCAGGTTTTACTGGCATGTTCCTGCAATTCCCCCGAGCTGGCCAAGCTTCAATTCCCGTGTCCTTTCATCTGGGGAAATGATGAAGTGTTTTGTGCTTTACTTAGCCTTTGCTGTAGCAGAGTCTGAGATGTTTTTCTGATATCTGACATATTTTAATTGCTGAAATTTGTTCCATTCTAACCAGAGACATAATTTGTTACTTTTTTTTTTCTGTTGCAAATTATGCAGACCCCAGTCTCTAGAACAGACACAACTATCAGTTATGTGTTTTTAGAAAATAAAATTTCTTCTGAAGGAGAAAGGATTCTTACCGGCAGTTCCCGAGAGGGAGCCAAACATCCTGTGGAACAAAGAGAACAATTGAAAGGAGAGTTAATACATCAAATGCTGCATGAGATGAGGATGGATGAAGGGAAATTGTCTATCAGTCAGGTACACTGTTTGCAGTCAGGGAAGGATGCCCATCTCCCTGTGCTCCTTCTCAG